TATAAGTGTAACTCTGTCGAAAGCTGCTATCAACGATGTGAATTTCTCCACTGTGAGATAAATAAAGGCATATCTTATCTTATCTTATCTTATCTTATCTTATCTTAAAAGTTTTAAGGCAGTAAATACATGTAGAAAATTCACTGCAATATTTAAAGTGGTAACAGGACTTACGTTTTCATTTTTTCATAAATAAAATATATTCAGCCTACTAATAATAATACTTTAAGGAAAAAGTCAAAGAGTTTGAATATTTTCCAAAAGTAATAACAATATTTTTTTTGCAAATATGCATTTTGAAGTCTGTGAACATCAGTAATCATACATATGCTGATGCAATACTCATGTGAAACTATTGAATTAGTCGTCATCTTAGAAGTAACACGAGTTGACAAGGTAAAGAAGGTCTTTTAGTCAATCATGTGGGGCAAGTTATTACAATTTTTTTGGATTCCCACTGCTCTAGTTTACTGGTCATCGGAAAGAGGAGGTGAAGAGAAGAGTAGAGGCTTATTAAAAATACAATCTGGCCCGACAGAGGAAGAGGGTAGGAGGATAGGAGGTGAGACTGAAAAACAAGCCTCTCGTGTCTCTAATATGGATCTGGTTACACTTGTTTTCCTCCATTTCTCTCCTTACCCGTCCTCCTCCTCCTCCTCCTCCTCCTGCGTTACGCCATCCATCTGACATGAATCTGATTTTGAATCTGTTTATCTTTCTCGGTCGCTATCATTCCCTTCTCTCTTCTTGCTCGTCTCTCTGGGGGCAACCCTACAGAGCAGCCAGTTATTAAAAGAACATCACATTCTGGAGGAAGAAATTAGAGACTAGCAAACAAACAAAAAAAAACATGTTTACCACTCTGTGTGACCCTTTTAGCAGAAGGGAAAGTCATCTCATTTCCAGTATGAGGCCTGGAAAGATGTGCACTGCTTTTCCACACTGGTCATCAAAAATGTCAGACGCTAAGTGGCTGAAAAAGGGGAAATCTTCAGACTTCTAGGTATTAATGTAAAAGGTTACAGTAACACTTGTTAATTTTTCAAATTTCCTAATAGATTATTTACAATTTCAGATTTTTTCTTTTTTTTTTATCCTAGATGTCCTGTTCAGATGCAGCCCTGTGATAGACTGGTGTCCGGGGTGACCTGTCCAGGCTCCAGCCCCCCCTGACCCTAGTGAGGATTAAGTAGTGTATAGATAATGGATGGATGGATGTTCAGATGCTACTTATGTTGGCTTCAGACAGAAACACAGAAAGACACAATGACAGAGAGAAAAGCAGGTGCAGGGAAAGTCAATGGAAAAAGAGAACAACCAGAGAAAGGTGAAAGCCAAAACTGACAAGACAGGGAGAGGTGGAAAGGAGAAACATGTTAGGGAAAGGTTGCATGAGAGTCGTTGCTATAGCGTGAGGAGGGGGGTGGAAAAAAAAGATGAAAGGAAGAAGTTGAATAATGCAGTAGTCAGTTTCCTGCTTCCTTCTACTTCACTGGAGCTGTCAAGTGAGGTCAGCTTTCCTACTGTATACAGATACCTGTTTCTTCCAATTATATTACTCCTTTTGTTTACGAGAAATTCATCATAAAATATTTATAACACCAAAGAGATCACAGACCATGGAAACATTTTGAATCGCAATGTCCTGCAATCAAAATTATTGTTTAAAAGAACAAAAACAAATACATAATGAATTAAATCTATTAGCATTATAATGCTCCATCAAAAGTAATGTATCAAAAAAAGACTGTTCTTTTTGCAAAGAATGGTTCTTTTCAGTGTTAAATGAATGATGCCGTAATATATATATATATGTGTGTGTGTGTGTGTGTGTGTGTATTTATTGTTCTAAAGTGTTGTTACTATAGTTTGATGACTTTTTGCAGTTTAGCAACTTTAACTCTGCATCACCTTATAGTGGTCTTTACATGTGTGGTTTTCAGAAAGTGTCAATGTTTCTATTACTTCTGCCAGTTGAGTCTATTCTTCACCGCCTCTTAACTTAACTAAAACTTTTCTTGAAAACTTGACATTTTGGAGATGCAGTGATTTGATCCAATCAGACTGTGCCCACGCCACAGAAAATCTCCTACTGAAATGTACACTTTTGCCCATGACCCTACACCACACATTGATATTCAGTAATTCCCTTTCAGTCGATTCACTCGGTACAACACATATAGTGTGGGATATCACACCCCTCTATTCACGCCTCTACGGCAGATGATCTGTGATGACATTTGTGAGGCCCTGCCTACGCATATAAATACCTGTCATCACAGTCATCCCTCAGTTCTTACGCTCTTCACCTTTCTAGGAACACCTCACGGGCTAGCTAGCTACCACTAGTTAGCTCTGTTTTCCAAGGCTACTGCCGGCTTGAAATTTGTTTAACTGCTTTTGTTGGTGTTAGCCACCGCTACTAACGCAGTGAGTGTGACTGCCCGCGGAGCGCTGATTTCAGGCTTTTTTGGTAAAGTCATGAGCATTGTGTTTTGATACGAGCACCAAGCCTAAGTCGAGGAAGAGGTCTTCAGTAAGCGTGTCCTGTCTGTCTGGACATCGGCAGTATAGGCAAATGCTAAGGGCGCCGACATCCACAGGGGGCGCCACAAGCGGAGGAGTGGAAGTGGTCAGAACACCCAGGCAGTATTTGACATCCCCCCGCTACGCTGCCGGACATTTCTGGTCAGAACCCTGTTAAGTTAATGAATCGTAGTTACTGGTATCAGAGCAATGCTAGCTTGCTAGCTTATTTCAGACGATAGCAGCATTGTTTATAATCACTAAATAGTTATAGCTGACTTACGTTAATGTGCTACCACCACCTTAAATCAGGGATATTTAGAAAATCGATATTGGGCCTGTTCAGATGTTATTTAAACTGTTGACTGTATTTTCCCTGCTCTCTGTTAAAATGCTTACTTTTCCTTCCTCTTTATGTGCTACAGGGTGCTAAGTTTACTCCAGTATTAAAGTGCAGTTAATAGTTCATCCTTTAGCTTTCTCAATATTATAATAAATTACACACACACACACGTATATATATGTATGTATGTATATGTATATAAAATGTGTGTGGACTGCACTCTTAGACTATTTAATGTATAAGT